ATATTTTCATGTATATATGGGACCTTGTTTCTATCAATGACTTCCTTAAACTTAGCAATACTTGAACCAGGTCAAAGAGTATGGACACATTAGTCACTTTATTAACATCATTATAAATTCCTTTCCACAACAATTGGACCAATGCACAGTGCTACCAGTCATGTATCAGTGTCCCTGTCTTTCTGCAGCCTCTCTAACATTCACTAGTCTCATTTTTTTTTCCTCTGGAAAGCTACTGATACATTTCAGAGAGCCTCAGGAACACCTCCAAGAAATAGAACACTGAACAGTTAATTTTTGGTGGAGATACTTTGTGGAAGGAGAGCCCAAGTAGAATGCCATTTGACAATGTGGAAGAGTGGATCAGTGCTGGGCCTGGAGTAAGGAAGACCTGACTCTGGCACTCATTGCCTATGTGACCCTGGACAAATCATTTAATCTTCCTAAGTCCCATTTTTCTCATAAAATAGCCCTACATCCTGCTTCATAGGATTATTTTTGACAACATGCATATGTAATGTGTTTTGCAAACTTTAAAGTACATGTGAATGGCAGCTATTGTTATTACGTCACAGTGAAAAGAAGGAAATAAGCATTTATATAACACCTACTATGTGCTAGGCATTGTGCTAAGCACTTTATAAATGTTATCACATTTGATTCTCACAACAAGCTTGAGAAGTAGGTGCTATTTATTATCTTCATTTTATAGTCAGGGAAACTGAGGCAGGTGGCTAGTAAGTAACTTGCCCAGAGTCTCATAACTAGTGTCTGAGGCCAAATTTGAACTCTGGTCTTCCTGACTCCAGGCCAAGCACTTTATCCACCAGACCACTTAGATGAGGAAACTGAGGCTGAGAGAGATCTTACCTCACATAAAACAGGTCGTGTCAGACTCCAGAGGCAGTGAGCGTTCCACTGTGTTACAGTATTCCATTGTATTAAAGTATTACAATACACTGTATTCCACAGTATTACATTGTATTACAGAGTTTGGTAAGGAAAATGAAGTCTCTGAAAATAGGGACCAGAGACATTAGAAATGACCTCCATCCACTTTGCAGTTTTGCTTAGGACTGACTCTTTGTAGGTAATCGATGGCAAAGGTCACTGGAGGCCTCTGTCCAGATCAGCCCTTGGCTTTAAAAAGCTACACATTTTCGAGGGAAACAGATCTTAGATAACTCTAGGAATCCTTATTGCATTTCCTTAATGTCACTGGGAGTTTATAGCAAACAAATAGCTTCTTAAAGAGAAACAGGCCCTCAGAGATTTCTGCTGCAGAAAGCAGGTGTGTCCACCTACCTAACGAAAACTTGGTTCATGAGACAGTGTGCTTAGGAAAGACACCCTGAGTAATGGGAGCATCCAGAGGCCTGCACAATCTTTTGTTGCTCTTATTTAGGTGCTTGAATATTTGAGTTTGTGGATGGCTTTTACGTTTATAATAAAACTTATATTAGAGGTTGATTAGTTGCTAGGTGAAAAACATTCACCACAAGACTTTTCTAAGCGAAATCCCCTGGTGAATTTTTTAATAATTGCAAAATTTTGATTTATATACAGCTTCTCAGGAGCAGGACCATTGTACAAATCACAGTCTTTTTATATTAATTGAACAAACTTAAAAACATTTCAATACAAACATTTCTAAAGCAAGGTCAAAGGATTTTCTTCTAAGGTTACATGTCTAGGTGAAAGAACAAATGTGACAGAATTAAGTCACTGACCAAAATTGTGTGTGAGTGTACACACACACACACACACACACACACACACACACACACACGCGCGCGTGCACCAGCAAGCAAAAGTTAAGGAAGTCCTTAAGGGAGAGTATCAACAGCTGCTCTTTCCTCTGAACAAGAACAACTAGCAATCATATTGGCAATGAAGATTCATATCATTCATTGCTCCTCTTATTTCTTCTTATTACAAAGTTTTCCCCAAACACCCTAAATTATGTGGTGAGTAGAGGTTCCATTCAGAGGAAATCTAATTTTTCAAGCTGTCTGGATGTCTCCTGCCAGGGCAGAAACCAGCTACACAGGTTGGGTTTTCCCCCTGAGGCTTTGGTAGTGATTTATGCTGTGACAACCACTGTTATCCACAAAAGTATTCAGGGCTAAATGTAGAACCCTGCCCCTCTTTCTTTCTTTTCTTTTTCATTTTTTTTTTTGGGGGGGTGAGGCAATCAGGAGCAAGTGACTTGCCCAGGGTCACACAGCTAGTAAGTGTCAAGTGTCTGAGGCCACATTTAAACTCAAGTCCTCTTGACTCTAAAGCACTATCCACTGCACCAGCTAGCTGCCCCCCCCCCGCCTTGCATCAGTGAAAGAGTGACTTCTGATGTTGGCCCAGTTTGTAGTTCCTTAGCTGCACCCACATTAGTGACCAAACACTCCATCTGATGAGTTAATATCAAATATAAAGGAGGCTTGGAAAACCCAGATTAGGAAAGATACATACCAGGAGCATTAGGAGCATGACACTGCATAAACTACAAACTCAATATGCATACAAGCATGATACAAAATAAATGTAAACTATACCAATAGGAAAACTGAAACCTTATGATGAAAATCTGATATTCTTCCTTTGGCTCAACTCATCAGTGATATTAAGTGAAGCCAAGATACATTGTATTTCATTCTATCACTTCTTTTTGGTCTTTGCTCAAAGGTTCTCTGGATAAGTGTCTTTTCCATGGTTCTCATGAATTAAGCCTCCACACTGTGTAGGGGAAAAAGCTAGGCATTTTAGGACTCCAAGTTTGCTGTTATCCTTTTATTTTCTGAATTTAGCATTAGACCTTGAACTCTAAAATCTTCAGTAGTTTCTTCTTATTATTATTATATTATTATGTGATATATAATGGATAATATAGGTTATATTATACAATAATATATAACATAATATATATTTATATTATATGATATATACCATATAATATGTTATATAACACATTGTCTTGTAATTTATGTTATATCACATTATATAATTATATCATCATTATTATTTTATTATTATAATCCCAACCCTGGAATTTAAAGCCCTCCACCATATGGCTCCCATCATACCTTTCCAGGCTTATTTTATATTATTCCTCTTCACAGGCTCTCAGTTCTTGGTAAATTAACTTGTTAGCTATTCTTCAAATGCTACATTCCCTTTCCCACCTCCATACCTTTAAATTAATGATCCCCCATTTCTAGAATGTATTCCCTCTTCATCTCTACCTCTAGAATCAATTGACACTAATGCACTATTGGTGAAGTTGTGAATTAATCCAACCATTCTGGAGACCAGTTTGGAATTATGTTCAAAGGGCCATAAAACTGTGTATACCATTTGGTCCAGTATCCAGCCTGTATCTCAAAAAAATTAAAAAAGAAAAGAAAATGCCCTACATATACAAAAATATCTATACCAGCTCTTTGCGATGGCAAAGAATTTGAAATTGAAAGGGTACCCACCAATTGGGGGATGACTGCACAAATTGTAGTAAATGATCATGATGGAATGCTATTGTGCTATACAAAATAATGAACAGGTTAGTTTCAGAAAAATATAGAAAGACGAATTAATTGATGCAAAGTGAAGTGAACAGAACCTGGAGAACATTGTACACAGTAACAGCAACATTGTAATATGTTCAGTTGTAAGTGACTTAGCTATCCTGAGCAATACAATAATCCAAAACAGTCTTACAGATTTATGATGAAAAATGCTATCCATCTCCAGAGAAAGAACTGATGGAGTCTGAGTACAGATTGAAGCATACTTTTTAACTTCATTTTTCTTGGGGTTTTTTGTCTGTTTTCTTTTGCAACATGTCTAATATGGTATATGTTTTACATGCCTTCACAAATATGATCTATATCAAATTGCTTGCCTTCTTGAGAAGGGGAAGAGGAAAGAGGAAGGAAGAGAATTTGGAACTCAAAATTAAAAAAAAATTTTTTTAGTTGTACATGTAATTGAGAAAAATAAAAGTGAAAAAATAGAATCAATCCTTAGCATCCTTTAAAACAGTTTAGATACTATGTCCTGTATAAGACTTTTCTGTATCTCTCCTCCCCTCTAAAAAGTACTTTGCATATCTTTGGTTTTACTTGTCACTGTCCATGTTGTATTCCCCACCCCCACCTTTATGCCCAGTAAGCAACTTGGGGGCAGGTTCTATTCTATTTTTGTCTGGTCATCATCTAGTAAAGTGTTTTGTACACAGTAGGTGTTTAATAAGTGTTTATCAACTTGAATTGAACTCCATTTGACATAATATATTTCCTACTGTGAATATTTTAAATATTAGATGAAATTATCACTATTACTGATCTTATAGGTCTTTAATAAAATGTTTTCCTATTTTCCAGAGTGTAGATCTTTTCTTCCCTTAAATCCCATGACCACACATGTGCTACATATAATTTCCCCAAAGGAAAACAGAGCACCCCAAAGAGAAGCATAAGATGCTACCACAAGCAAATAGCTATTGGGAAACTCCACTAGTCAAGTTTCTTTGTGTACTTAACAATAGAGTTTGAAGACAGAGAAGAGAGAATGAAGAATAGTGTCCCCAAAGGAGGGAGTGAGCTTACTCCATTCACAATTCACTGTTGCCACCTCACAAGGGCTATAAAGAAGTCTATGCTCTAGGTTCCACACTCCTCTGCAAACTGCTCTGTAATTCCTGTGGGGGCCCTAATCTGTCTAAGAAATGCAGCTCTAAAGGTGATTTCAGGCCTATTTGGATCATAGAATGTTAGCACTGCAAAGGAAACTCCTTTGGAAAAGAACGAGTCCTAGTTCCTCATTGTAAATTGGAGAAAGGAGCCATAGGGACAGTGGGATCTTTCAGGGTGAAAAGGCTTTAGGGATGGAGGGATCTTCTAATGAGAAGACCACTGGAAAATGGTGAAGAAAGAAGTCTAGAGAGTTAGAAGCAGAGCCTGGAGAGAAATAAAGGGAAAATCTCATTTTGTTTTTGTTTTACACAGGTGATTAACTGTGTAGACAACCACCAGTCCCACGGGTTCAGAAAGGATTGGAAGGAGGACCAGGCAGCATCCGTCTGTCTTTGAGCTCAGATCAGGCTTAACTCCAACCTTGAATTTGAATTTGGAAGACAGTTGCTGTTACATTGACTTTGTTATCCCCACCTGCATTTCTTCTCTTTTCTGTAGCATGCTGTAACATGTAAATAAAGGCACGATGAGAAAGAACCCAAATGAGCAAGTGTTTGCTCAGTCAGTCAGAAAGTTCTCCTGTCACTGTAGCTCAGTATGCATCCCTCCCCTCACCATAGCTTCTGGCTAGCTTGGCAGAAACCTTAAACTCAAAATTTTCTGTCTGTCACCAGCTTGATTTTGCAACTGAGACATGGGACAATGTGAATGTTGCCAATGGGCCTAGTGAGGCAAAAGGGAATGTTTCCAAATAACATAGTAAATTGCCGGAGGGAGGAGGAGAAAGAGAGAAGGAGGGGAGAAGGAAAAGGGAGGAGGCACAGTTCAAGAATTTTGGTTATGTCACGTTGGTAATAACCTTTACCATGTATCCCCAGCTATAGAATTTAATCCAATAACACACCCTTGTAATATTTCTTAGAGAGAACTTTCCTAAGTGAGCTTGTTCAGTTGTTTCAATCATGTCTGACTCTTTGTGACCCCATTTAGGGTTTTCTTGGCAAAGATACTGGAGTGGTTTGCCGTTTCCTTCTCCAGCTTATTTTATAGATGAGGAAAAGGATGCAAATAAGGTTAAGTGACTTGCACAGGGTCACACAACTTGTTAGCATCTGAGGCCAGATTTGAGCTCAGGAAGATGATTCTTACTGCATCCACTGCGCCACCTAGCTTCCCAAAGTGAGCTGTTAGGGTTTAACCATACAACTCCTAGTCATGTAAGCCAGAATCACTTAAGAGGTTTTCTACACAGCTCTTCCTCCCTTAGAAGACCCTCTATCCTGCTTTCCCCATACCATAGACCATATAAACGAAGACGCAGAGATAGAAAGGATATTAGAGGTCATCTAATCCAACCCTTTTGTCGTAGGGTCATAGATCCAGAGCTGGAAAGAACTTCAGAGGTCAACAAGTCTTACACCCTCATTTATAAGGGAGGTAACAGGAGAGCCTATCGAGCTTAGGCAGCTTGCCCAAGTCACAAGGGTAGTAAGCATCAGAGGTGGGATTTGAACCCAGGTCCTTTGACTCCAGGTTCAGTAGCCTTCCCACTGTGCTACTCTGCCTCTCTTAATCATTTCAATGGGTGGGGCTTTACTTCCGAATCCCTGTAAATGGTCACACTGGTTTATCAGGAAGCTAATTAACAGCAAACAGATTTCCACTTTCTAAAATGAATGAAGGACAGACCGTCCCATCTTGCCAAAAGCAGGAAAACTGTTGATTGGCTGGAGGCTTTTTTTTTCTTCCCCAAGAGATTCCAGGGACCTCCACAATGAGGTGCTTTGTCTGGCTCACACCAAGGTTAATTTGGCACCTCAGTCACAAAGAGCATATGCTTCCTGTGACAGACTTCCAGGGAGGCAGCTTCCCACATGTGCTCCCCTAGTCTCCTCATTGGTGCTCAGAAAGGAGAGGGTGGGTCCTCCAAGAGAGCCTGTATGTGTGTATGACAGATGAGATTTTTTTTTTAATGTAAGAAAACAAAACCTGGACATCTGATGCCCTGTTTCAAAAGGCAAAGACTTCTTTGGACCTGAAATTTACAAGGTAAGTAAGCAGTACTCTGTCACATAGCTTGAACTTTGAAACGGTCGGTGGGTATGATCTTAGCGCATTCTCTGAAAGTCTTGGTTGTTTAGTGGCTAACTTTAACATACAGCAGGGTCTGCTGCTGCTTTTATAATAAGAGCTCCTTCCCTGCCAAACTACTGCACACCCCCATCTCTGATAAAAAGACTTACTTCTTCTTCTAAACAACTTTCCACAATGAAATAGTCGTGGAGACCGGTGGTCATTTTAAACTCGGGTAGAAATGATTTGGAAAGGCTAAGTTTTCTTTCTGATCTCAGGATAATAAACATATTGAAACAGGTCCAAATTAGCTCTGCCATTTGGAAAATGGGTCTGCACAGAGGGGACAAATTTTGCCAACTGAGGGAGTCCCAGGGGAGCTGCCGCACCATCAGATGACATTTGAGTCTGTGGGTCTTTATTCTGATTGTCATTTGGTGCTGGCTTATGGAAGGCACGGGGGCTTAACTGAGCCCTGCTATCCTACGGTTGGGGTGGCCCTGCTCTAGAAGAAATGACAAATCTGTGGGTATCAGGTGTTGCTGTGCAGGCCAGTTTTTCATGATTGGGGCAAATTAGATTGAGAGATTGGAAGTCATTACAATGCAACCTGAAAGCCAGAGTCTTGTCACAATCAAAATAATGTCGGAAGTGTTCACCAGGGTGTGGGACAACTAATCATCTGAGCCTATTCAGGAAATCTAATACTTCTTTCCAAAAGGCATAATGCCTTTCTAATTTTTTTTTCTTTTAGTTCCCTCTGATTCTTTATTGCTTAGGTGGGAAGGCTAGTTGTGTTTGGTAACTAGAACAATCAGCCTCTGAAAGGGGAAAAGTGTCACAGCAAATTTTTTTTTCTTGTGTAAGAAAACAAGGAGAATATACTTTGGTTGTTTAGAAAATAGAAGGCATGGCAAAAAATATGATTTATTTTTTATCTTTTCTCAGCTCAACCTGTCTCTATTGCACAGGTAATAATAGTCAGCTACTTATGTCATCTCTGGAGATATCCAAATTATTGTTTATATCCTCTTTTCCTGTGAGCTCCAAACAATCTAAAACCTTATTTTACCTCCTACACCAAAACATTCACCTACCTGCTCGAAGTTGTTTTTCTCCTTTGATAAGTCACTTATATTTATTCATTATCTTTGAGCCCTCAAAGTACTTTATACACATTCTGGGGACAAGAGCTATCGCCAATTTTTTAGTTTGGGAAGGTAAAGCACAGGCAGGAAGGCAGGAAGAACCTTGTCCAAGGTCACATGGGAAAATAGTCATCAGACAAGACTAGAACCAATTCTTCAGGCTTCTAACCAAAGATTCCATTCTAGGAACCAGGCTGCCTCCCCTGTTCTAGCCAGAGTTATTTCCCGAACCTGCATTGTAAATTACCCTGCTGCTCTCCTGAGCTACATTAAGACACATCATCTAAGTGAGGTATTCATTCACTCCAAGGATTGGAATGTGGAAGGACCCTTTGCTGTGACCAGCTCATGAGCAACCCAATCTCTGTGAGCCTGGAGGAAGCAAAACTCTCTCCACCAAACACACACAGTAAAGTAGGTTGGGTTCCCAGGACTGATAATGTCCACGTCCATATTTATCTCTCCTTCTTGCTAATCTCCACACAGTTTTAGAGTGAAGTCAAACAAAAGAGGAAATCCTTAGGAAGTGGAGGTGGGAGTATTTACTTTCATTGGTCAGAAAGAACTCCCCAGAATGATGAGGCTGAAAAGACTAAGTCTCATTCCTGGACTAACATTCCAATATGTGATTGCCCCATTGTAAAGAGTTATTTTTAACTTAACTCTGTTTCCACATCTGCAAATATAACTCATGTAAAAATAAATATTTAGGGAACATCTTACTTCCATTAAACAGAGACAACAGAACAGGTCTTGGGTAGTTTAAATTTTCTTTCTCTTTTTTTCCCCCTTTCTCATAAAGAAGACACGGAAATGAGGATGAAAAACACTACCTGATTTCATTCAGGAAACATTGCACTGAATGTGAACATGCCCTTAAAGTTCTATAGTCTTTCCATGGAAGCCCAGTTTCCACCCTTATTAGAAGAAAGCTTCCTAGGGTTCTTCAGTTGTTTACCTGGGACAATCTCTGTTCTTTGAGATTGGTTGGCTCTTCTGGGTATGAATGCCTGACCAAACCATCCTGAAGCGATAAAAGACACATATTTGTGTCTAATGGTAGCCATCTCTAGGGCAGGGGGAGGAGGGAAGGAAAAAAAAAGGAATATGGATGATAACTTTATTGTATATTTAAAAGGAATAGCAAATTGTGCAGAATAGATCTGTAGTTTCATATGCATTCATCTTTTTTTTATCATACCATGTTATGGAAACGTTTGTCTTATTCCACAAATTAAAAAAAATAGTGAAATTAAATTAAAAAAGAAATAACACTATCTTTGCCCTCGTGCTTTTGTTGTTTTGAAAGGGAATAAGATACGTACACAAAATCACATATGAGCAGTGCATTAGAGAGGCACAAAGTACCATGTGAGGTGGGAAGGAGGGAGTTGTTATTGAGTCAGGTGGACGGTCAGTGACAGATGATCAGGTTTTCTCTCAACCCCAAACTTAATGTAGTATATGTAGGAGTACCTATGGTAAGCATATAGAGGGCATCCAGAAAGGAACCTTAGATAGTTTGATTATATTGTGTTTTGGATAGAAAACATGTAGATTTTTGTGTTCAGTTCTGGACACCACAGTATGGGTTGGCCATGTCAAGATGGAACATGTCCAGAGGAGTTCATCCAAGTTGATGAGAGAAGTCAAAACTGTGCTATGTAGTGATCTATAGAAGGAAATGGGCATGTTTATGTCAGATAAGGGAAGATTGTCTTCATGTATTTGAAGCACTGCCATATGGAAGAAGGATTAGACTTATTTGTCTTCCCCCCAGAGGGCAGAACTAGAACCAATGATGGTGAGTTAGAGACTCAGATTTCATGTGAAGAAAATTTTCCTATTAAAAGCTGTACAAAAGTGGAATGCACAGAGAGATAGTGAGTTTCTCCTCAATGGTGAGCTTCAGGTGGACACTGTATGACCAGTTTTCAAGGACTTTGTAGCAGGCATGTTGTGTGGGTCTGCAATTAGACTAGCATGATGGAATCAAGGATTTAGAGTAGTAAGGCACTTCAAAGCCCATCAAGCATCACTCCCTCACTTTAGAGATAAGGAAACTGAGGCAAAGACTTCCCTAGGATCACATAGCTGATAAGCACCTAGGTGATCTTTGAAGTCTCTTTCTATTTGACATTCTATGATTCTATTGAGGCTGTTCTTTGTGTCTCCAGAGAGAGACAGGCTTATAGCTAGGTCAAGGGCTATTGTCTAGGGGTTCTATTTCATCTTTCTCTGATTAGTTATAGCAAATATGTATATAAAATGCAATAAAAATCAGCTTGTGTAGAGACAAAATGCATT